TCCAGTTGACGCATGACGTTCTCGAGAGCGGCGCTGAAGAGTTTGGGCGAGATGGTGTCGCCCTGTCGAACCCCTCTCTTGACGTCGATGATGACCTCCTTGTAGAATGGTGAGATTCTGGTCGTAAAGTTGCTGTAGAGCTCACGAAGAATCTTGATGTACTGAGTAGGGACGCCCTGGTTGCCCAAGGCTTCGATGGCTTCAAGTCGATGAACGTGAGACAAAGCGGCATCTTGTACTCTCGTGAAACTTCAATGAGTCTTGTAACCGTGTGGATATGGTCGATCGTGCTGAACCCTCTTCGGAACCCTGCTTGCTCGCATGGCTGTCCTTCATCTAGTATTCTGCCGATCCTGTTAAGGATGACTCGAGTGAATAGCTTGTAGATTACAGACAGCAGGCAGATTGGGCGATAGTTGCCAATGTCGTCCAAGTCTCCCTTCTTGTACAGCAACACGGTCCTGCTGGTTTTCCACGGAGTGGGTACCTTGCATTCCGACAGGTAGCGCGTGAAGAGTCGAGCCAGAGTTTTGATGATAACTGGCGGTGCATTCTTCAGATGTTCCGGTTTGACCCTGTCGAGACCGGGTGCTGTACGATTCTTCACCGACTTGATGGCGTGTCGGACTTCGGAAGAGAGAACTGAGGGGACGACGTATCCATCCTGTTGCAGTTGATAAGTGGGCAGATGGACATGGCTATCGAAGAGATCCGAGTAGAAGTCGTGGATGACTTTCTCCATTGCCCTTTCGGGATGCAGTAACTGTTCCATCCGGACGTCGGAGGCAGGTCATCTTGGTCTTGTAGCTGGCAAAGCTTCGGCGGGCATTGCGGATGCTCCTCCCAGCCTCTGCTGCTTCAGCTAATACTGCTGCTCTTCGCTCCTTGAGATCTTCCTTTATCGCCTCTCTGCATAGCTTCGCAAGCTCGGACGTGAGTCGGTGATTGCCTGCAGCTCGTGCGGCTCCACGTTGGCGTATCAGCTCGAGAGTTTCCGTAGACAGACGTCCCTTGGTGACTTTCAAACTCTCTGCCTTCCTGCCACTCTCGTGAAGGTGTTCAACGAGCCGATGATATTCCTCGTCGATGTTCTCGATAACGGAATCCTCCCATAAGCTGACAAGAGAAGTGAAGTGATCCCAGTTGATGACTGTCCTGGGGCTTCGCTTCCTGAACTTCGAGGCTCTCTCAACACGCATCGAAAAGTGGAACTTTGCGCGGAGGAGACGATGGTCCGATCCCGTGTAGAACTTCGGAACAACAGCGACGTCGGTCAGGCAAACCTTCGATTGAAGATGATGTGGTCTATCTCGTTATGGAACTGTCCATCAGGTGACTCCAAGTCCAACGAAGGTGAGAGGGCTTCTGGAACTGTGAGTTACCATGGATGGTGTTGGTCGACATGATAAACTCAGACAGTCTTTCGCCCTGCTCATTCCATCCATTCCGTGAGTACCGATGTGAAGTTCTTCAGCCGTTCTTCTTGGGCCAATCTTGGCGTTGAAGTCGCCGACGATGACCTTGAAGAAGGTATGATCTTCCTTGTAGAACTTCTCCAATTCCATATAAAATGCTTCGTGTTCTTCTCGTCGGATGTTGGTGCGTAGGCGACGAAGATTGTCAAAGCAGGAGTTGAACCACATCTTCTCAATCTCAAACGTCCGATTCGGGTCGTAAGGCTTTCGTACGAATCGATGTTTATGGCCAAGTGCGTGTTGACGAGGACACCCACACCGCCAACGCCTCTGCTGTCGCATGTTCCAAGGAACAGTTCTTCTCCAGTATCGAAAACGGCGTGTAGCGGGCGGTGCCTTCTCGTCTCGGTCAGTCCGATGACGTCGTACTTGATCTTCCTGGCCTGCATCATCAGATCTTCGATGTGAGCTTCGGATGCAAGCGTTCGTGCGTTGAAAGTACAGATCGCCATCTTAGTCCTTCTTCGTTTAGGCAGCCTATCCGGGCCCTGAGATTCTAGCAGCCTCTCCCGAGCGGTCCTACCCAACGCTGCCGTATTGGGGGCTCCCTCAGGTTCAGGGGAATGAGGCCCATCCATATTGCTGTTTTCGGCATATTGAAGGCACACGAGTAGCTTGCCAGGCTCTGTCGTGCGGGCTAGGATAGACCTCCAGGTAGTTAGCCACGCTATCCTGGAGCGGAACAAGGGCTTATTTTTGGAGGCGGCCCCGAATCGCCTCCCATGTACTTCCCAGTCACTTGAATGCAAGCTTTTGGCTGTGCCGACATGCAGGATACCAACCGCACACACACAGAGCGCACCACACACGCAAGCATGCATGGATACGCCTGAGTGGAGAAGCTGGTATGAATCAACACAGCACTACAGAAACAGGGAGTCCATCCCCTGAATCCACCTGCGTCTCAGGGCAAGTACATGGTGGCTTTTGGTCCGCGATTTACCCCCTATCCGCCACCTGGGGTCGCGCCACGTAGCTCGCCACTCTTTTCAGTGAGAGAGGACCCTCAGTGAAAGAGATACGTGGGTTAGCAAACCTAGGTCCCTGGAATTTGGGACACACTCAAAAGGAAATGTTATAGCATAGTGCGGAGGGCTACTGATAGAAACACGCAGTGAAACGATTAGAAAAGACACTTTTCTTCAAAGACAGTGACTGAAGCGGTTGATGGGTGAAGCTACCCCAACTCATGGTGAACCTTCAAAAGAGAGGAGCTGGTTTTTGATGGGGTGTATGAACACTACAGACTGCAATGCATGCTCTGTTACGTGCTTCCATAACAGCCTCAATGATGGTCAAGAGCTGTTGTGGGGAAACGTTCCAAATGTCGAACATTCCAATTTACAATCGCTTTGTGCTAATGGCGTATGGGAGTGCGCTACAATAGCTTTTCTAAATGCATGTCAATAGGAATTGAATGGAGAAAGCGGATAGGCTCAATGAATCGCCAGAAATCCTCGCCTAAGAGTTCACCACCTAGGCTGCTCGATGCTATCGCACCTTGTCCTCCATACAAATGAAATTGGGATCAAACGCATCGCTGAAAAGATACACATAAGAGAGGAGTACAGCGCCACAATAACGCCGATCAGAAAGCATTACGCGATCACGAGTTGGGAGCTCGGTACGCCCTAACTTTATGCCTCCCCACACCATATCGAATGGACTATCAAAACAAAAATTCTCGATGATGGTCCTGGGTGCATTACATGTTTTAAATCTTTCCATTTGTGGGTAAATCTAGAACAATAATTTGCTCCAGACCGAAAAGAGCACGCGTTCCTCCAAATTGGTGGTCAATTTCAAATGTAAGTGTCACCGCCGATACGCGGGTTTCAAAGGAACACCAGATACTGTTGGTCGGTCAGAGAGACCATGCCTATACGGTCACTGTACCACTGTTCAGCCTGGGATTACGTGCCTTACAATCCTGATAAATGTTTTGCAACTGCAGCCTGTGACTGACGTGGGTCCATTTGCCTGTAGCAAAACCTAGCAATCACCTGCTGCTGCGGTTGTTCGTGATCCCACCAACCTCCTCTTCTTGGGACAGCAGTGGCTGCGGTTCCAATTGCTTCTCATGCGCATAAAACAATGCTGTGAGCAACACCAAACTCCTGGACCACACTCGTAACACGTCTTCCTTCTTCCAGTTTCCCGGTGATTCTTCCTCGCGTAAAGTCACCTAATGTTGTCTCTGAGACTTGCTGTAATCAAAACACCACTACATTCCACAGTAACTTCTCCCTTGTCAGTACACTCCCTCTTGTCCTGTTCTACCAAACCCCTCGTTGTGCGTGGCCAGTCCCTTTTGGCTCCGGTGGAAGCAGGCTATACATTAGGCTCACTTCGTTGTGCACCTACAAGATCTTTGTCATCATGCTCCCACAATTTCACCCAATTCCATTATGGTATCGATAAGCTATGCTATTTAATCCACTTGGTTCTCAAGCGCTGCACACCAGTGTACTAGACAGTGAGCCAGAAAGCCATTTCTCGAAAGATTTTGTCTCTGCAGTAACGTAATCCGCAGTGAAGGCTAGCCAAATAGGGGATAGGAGAAATTCCTTGCTCCTGTGAAAAAAGGCAATTTTTAAAAGAAGCACAATGTAGCTTTCCTCTCATTTTTAAAGTACTTCGACACTTTTGTTCAAAAGTTTCAAAATATACATGAGTGAACATTACTTTGTGAAGAACCGAGTTGCTTTCATTCTCCGGGACCCGACGCATATGCGGATGGTAGTGGTGCCGTGGGGAGCATTGCATTGATCGTTGACTGTAGCCTTGGTAAATAGGCTGCTCGAGGCGCTCTGTACCTCTGATATGGCGGCCACCGTACTCGTAAGAAGGCGCGTGATAGGCTGCCTCCAACACTCTTTGCTGGAGTTTAGCACAGCATGGTGTATACAGCTTATTCACACAATTCCTGTCAAGGGCGGCGGCCGCCACTTCAAACGTGGATACGTCAAAACAAATGGCTAGATATGAATTGTGCAGTGGCACTACAGACTGAGCTTTACCATTGGTGGTACGAAGGGACAGAGCGTCGCACCACCGGGTTGTTCCCCGCTGCCTCTAACGAAGTTAGCGTCGAAAACAAACTTGAATGTGTAATGATCGCGAACCCATATCCCATACCCATATCCACGTAAATAAGGCTGTCCGCATCGATATTTTCATGATGCTGATATGAATTACCTATCTTTCATGAAATGATTGTAAAAGATACTTCCCAGATGTTAAAACAGTACCAAGTATGCCACAGAAGTGCGATGTGCCGCTCCTAATTCTTCGGCTGGGGTAGGGCAGATTTTGTGCAATTATTCTAATTGTGAAGATTATTTCACGCCTAGTATTGACCATGGTATGTCACCGGACAACCGGAACTCATAATCTTGTCCCTTTCACTACCCCAGCAACATCCTCCTCCCACTAAATCAAATACGACCCCTATGATAAATACTCATCGGTTCATCTTGATTGCGAACGTTTACATTTACAGGAATTATTGACAGAAAAGCATACCTTATCACATCAGTGCTGGAAGAGAGAAGTTGCCCACAATATACCACATCTTCACGTGAATTCTGGCGCTCCTCACGCGGAATGATATTCTGTGTTCGGATTGTTGGCGGGCCAGTGATTATCGTGGACATCTGCTATAGTTACAAACGCCAGTTCTCAACAAAAAAAAGCGGAGTAGAAAATCCACAAATATACAGTAGCGGTCAAAAGTGTTCGCCGAAACGATTTTAGTGCATTATTTTCTCGCTTGAGCAACGCCCTCCAAAGATTGATATACTATGTTTTCTAGTGTTTTTATATCCTCAAGTCTTAAAGAATCAGGATATTCAAAAGAAAAATTTTCGAGGCCACCATTGATTTTTTTCTGGCAAAAAAAGAGAAGCACGGATTCGTCGAACACTTTTAACCGCTACTGTACATTTTTAGATGTTACGGCGATGTAGGGGGCATCCTCTAGACTGTGTAGGAAGGGTCTGCAACTCTAGAGAAAAAGAACGGCTCATGCATTTTGGCCTTTCTTCGGGTGCGGTTCACAAGGAGAGAAAGCGACTTTCCGCGTTTCGAACATTTTTTTGCAACGCGGTCCACTCATGATAGCGGTAGACCTGAGCCCGTGGCGAAAAATGTTTTGCGCTGCGGAACGCGAAAAGGTCATTTTCAATGCTAGCAAACCACACCCCTCTTCTTCCCCGCCTAAGGCTTGGTCTTCATTAAAAAGGACATGTTTGCGCAGTTTCCAAAGCAAAAGTCCAGATATAATTGGTGGGATGAAAGCGGTCGATAATGATATTGTGGATGAAAAGTTGATTGGAAATGAAAAAAGCAACGAAGAGAATCACCGATGGAGCCTTCAAACAAAGGCCCTCTCACCTCCCCCTGAGATAAGGGGGATAGGTGGCCGGACGAGCTGATAGAACTGGCTTGCTCTGTCTCCATGTATTACTAGCTCTGCGGCAGCAAGAAATGCGGCTGCAACCGCATACTCCCGAATGCAAACAAGAACATATGCATCAATACAAACAAAGAAGTATAATAACTGAAATTTCTGAGTATATGTAGTTGCTAAGCTTCCAACCAAGATTGACAATAACTTTTATTAGGCCGACGTTTCGGTGCTTTCACCTTCTTCAGAGCCTGGAAAAGACGAAAGCCATTTAGGAAACTACCCGTCCAAACACTATTTCAACCTACAAGAATCATTCAACAGGGTGTAAACTACTAAGGCGATGTCATGGAGGAAGATGAGAACGAACCTTTAGATACTGTCTTATAGCATACGACAGGGCTCTTCGTCGCATGGACCCTCTTATTGCTGATAACCAAGCCGTTCGAGGCCGACAATACATTTCAGGTCAACTGCTTAAGACGCGACGGAGGTGATTCATGTAGATCATCACCTCAAGTTTGGCAACTCCTCTGCGACGCGTCAGGCCACTCTCAGACCGTCTCCGCCCCCCACAACCAACTAGTACACGTAGTTGACATTGATTTCTCCTGTCGTCAGTAGTCCGCTACCCGACCCCCGCACCTCGCCACACCTCTAAACCCCCACCCGCTAAGGAGGAATTCCCTCTCGCTGCGGAAATCAATCGTGGGTCCATTGGCACGCTAGCACGTGATGAACTGTTCAAAAGGTGCCAGGCCAACCACTACCGAGTCACCACCGCTTCTCGAGGTCAACTCGCCCTGACCTTCATCGATCTTAGCACCTCTTGGCGTTGAATCCAAGAATTTTTTCCGGGCTCTCTAGACTTCCCCGTCGCGCCCCGAATTGAGACTTTTCATGGTCCAAATAGACCGCTCCAAGTACAATCTTCAGACCCAAGCGCAGCAAGCGCGCCCTTGCTTCTTTCGCGATTCTAGCGTAGCTCTCCTGATCGTGTAAAACATTCCGATTACTTGCTTGAGCTATAGCTATGAGCCTTCGCCGACGGTGCCGAGCCACCGATTATCAGGCGATTGTTCTTGGCGCGCCCGCTGGTCGTAAAACCAAAACCTCGGACCTCGAAAACCACTGAGAAATGTCGTAGTAGCTTCGAGCACCAACTGAGTGTTCTCACCCCAAATAATCGAGACTAAGGAGCCTTGATTGTAATTAGAAAATCGTGCGCAATATATGTCATGGTCTTCTGCGCGTATAAACCCAACGAGAGAGAGAGTTCCTCGAGTCTATTCGCAAGAGGGGGACGAAGATATCCCTAGGTGCGCTGACCCTTTCCTTAAACACTTTAGATCCACGCCCCATAGAGGCTTCGCTCCCCTTGTCGCCCGAGCTCGTCAGGCGAAAGGAACATGGACTAGCCATACCACGAGCGGTGATGATGATGTCGCCTCCCATACCTCCCCTCGTCCGTCTCGCCTCAACAAAATAAGATTTCACAGCGGAAAAAAGTGTCTTCTTGACCAATTGTCGACGATTAAGTGGCCGACAATAGATTAATATCTAGCGAACGTTTGTCTAAGCAATACAGTAATCGCTAATGTCTCGTAAAGTAGAGTGATAATCTTCGGCAGAAGACCTGTAGTGTAAATTGAATTTTAATTGAGTACCCCAGCGCGATTTTGAAATGCTCGTTTAACAAAGGAGATGCTTGTAGTGCCTTATCTATCAATCATAGCGTTTTTCCTGAACGCAATTTTCGTGGCTCCTCTGTAGTGTCTCTGACGCCCCGAGAATGCGCCCCGAGTAACGACAGCCTGCCCACGACTAGCATGGAGTAATGGGTCGCATACGCAATCGGCTCCAAATCGTGTCAGAGCAGGTTAACCTAGGAGTTGCTTACCGCTAAGATATCATCCGTCGTCTGGCGAGTGAATAGAGGATATCTAAGTCACCACTTTGCCATGTACTTGATAGTGTCTAGGTCGCTGTCACCTCATCAGTCAATTGTACCACAGCGCATTTTTCATTCTTCACTTAATGCGTAATCAGACGAACATTTTTTAGGCTCGTGTTTTTCATGTTACCTCTGTTCACGGAGCGAGCAGCGCGGCTGCAGCTCCGGAGCGCCCAAGAGTAAGCACATCAGCTTGAAGCGGTTATCACACTTAAGGACTCGACTTTCACAAGAATCTCCTTGCAAGCTAGTAACGAGAGCATGCAAAGGAATCTATGCGTGCCTCATTTAAGGGCGGCATACTTCCTCAACATTCCTTCTGTTTATTCATGTTGGATGTTCAAACCGGCCTCTTGTTCCTGCCTGCATTGTAGGTCAACTGAGCATTTGTGAAATCTTGTTCTGAAGTTTCTTGATACTCGCACACACTTAATGTGTCTACGGCAAATTCAGTTAGGTGAATCTTGATAGATACAGTCAAATCAATTTTAATTGCACTCTGTAACTGTCGCAGCGATCCACTATGTCGCAAAGCGTATCAGCCGAGACGTACGTAATACTGCACAAGTCAGCAGCAGGTAATAGATGGTTTCGGAGGAAGATGTTGTTAGGATTCATTACCTGGCCCGGGGACTCGCTTTTTCCACAGTCACCTGCCTAAATCACGAACAAGTGAACAGCGGTCAGACAAAGTGATTTCAGATGCTTCTACTATGCTGTCGGACGCACACCGACTATAGTCATGGTCATTGCGACGCCCATTGAGCGTCCTGACGATCCTCAGAGAGATTGTCTGATACGGAGTTCCGACCCCTATTCTGTCATTGAACCTGAGTGATTGACGTGCGACCGCGATGGCGATGGTTATAAATACTTCTGGGTATCCGCCATCACTTTAATTCCTGAATTCGTAATCGCTCTTAAATGTATCTAGCCCAAAGTTTAGAGAAGAGATGAAGGTAGAGTTCAGTGTTCTCGTGTAATCAGCCTGCGGAGGCATCCAGCAACGTTCTAACCCTTAAACAATAATAATTTTCTATCCAAGCAATATAGAATATTGAGATCGAATGAGTTATTCCAGTCCAGCGCCTTTCTTGACAACCCAATAAGAGAATAAATTATTGGTTCAAAATAACACGGTCTTTGTATTATAATTCCACTTTTGTGTCCACCTAAGGTCTTCTAGGGGTCTCCATGTGATATACATGCACTCGAGTGAGTACTAAAGTTTTTACTGTCAAATATGTTGGTCTCTCTATGTTGCGCAGTAGCACTTGGTGGATTCTTATATAGAATTATACATCTCAAATTAATCAAGTTCCAGCTATTTCCAATTCGAAGAGATGGTTCATCTACAGCTTTCCTTCCAAACACGTAAGTTCGAAGAACTTCAGATGAAAAGTGCACCGAGCAGATATGCCTAGTCCTGACTCTATTATTGTTGAGCCCTATCTGCGAATCATCGTAAGTTTCTCTCTCTCAAACCTTCTGCGAAGCAATAATGGGCATCAAGCGTAAAAACCTTAGCGTACACCTAATTACACTTACTTTCGAGAGAGTCGATAGTCATCAATATTGGTCCGATAAGTTCTCCAGTCTTGTTCGGTTAGATCAGATCCTGTAAAAGCGAGCGAATTGTGTTGTTGGCGAGCATACATGATTAACACGCGGTTCTAAAGTACACTCCGAACCGTTCGGCTGAATAAGTCAGCAGTCAAATTAGGTAACCCTTCGCTAATCTCTTGGGAAAACTGTTGTATCTTGGAAGTGGGCAAAATCTCAGGGACCCTATATGCGCTAAACAACAGAGGGATATTTATTGACTTGCTTGCTAGGCATGGCTTCACACAGGTATAGCCGCATAGTAACCCCGTCCGAAGCGACTTACATCGTGCGAGGTACTTGAAAGTGTTAACGAGAGTTAATTGCATCAAATACGAGAAGACTGTTCTTTGGTAGGTAGAAATTGATCGTAGCGCACTTCAAGCATACGTTTGCCCAAATTGGTAAACTGGTTCAGTGCGAGTGCCGTGATGCGTAGACTGCCTGAAAAAGGAGTGTGGTGAAATAACGCCACGCCTATGTATCCATGTCGCGTATCCAGCGCGCGACCCTTCTCCCTCAATTTTTGTGATCTCCGCAGAGACGTGACGGTAGTTTCTAATCGCATCCTGCGTGCCTTGTACAAGAGCAAGTCATATGAAAATCGCGTAGAAGGACGGTCATCTTGTGTACATCTTCTTTCTGTCTTTGTGCTTGTTTTCTATTAGCTACGTGTTTATGCTGGATGCGCG